ATTCGATATCTCGAACGGCGGAAGTAGAGTGATAAAATTCGAGATTTTCATTCCTTTTGTAAATTATCAAATCCGCAAATGACGGAGTTAAAATCAACAACTCCTTGTGTTTCCTTTTTTTTTTTTTAGGGATGTCAAAATTTTTCCCTTTGTTCTTACATTTTAATTACAGTTAAATGAAGACGTTTCGAATGTGAGTCTCTCTCTCTCACTCCATCTCTATCACTCTCTCTTTTATTTAAAATGGAATATTTTATACCTTTCGCGATTAATTATTATTATTATTACTAGTAGTCGGTAAATGAAAATTAGTGATTAAAATTTTAAACAAATTTTTTTTTTTTTAAACCTTTTTATATTTTGAATCGAGTATACCCTTAGAACTGTTCTCGATTAGTTGGTTGTTTGATATGATGACGTCAAAGACCCTGAATGTGTTTGTTGTACGAGTTTGTAGTGCGATTAGTACGACATAATGACCTCTTTAGATTTTTAAAAGGTCACGTAATATTCACAAACGACAAAGAATTTTCCGAAAATTTTATTTCGAATTTTTTCTAAAACATCCACTCTTTAATTAATTAATTATAAATTTTCCAAATCCTTTTTTCGATTTTTGTAGATTTTTTATAAAAGAACTTTATCGTAAATATGAGTCTTTCGACCGCCCTGTTTATTATTATTATTATTATTATCATCATCATTTTTATTCCAGTCGTTTCTATTTTCCATTTTGGAAAATTATTTGGTTTCGTATTTCGGCCAGTTTTTATTATTACGTAACGAACAAATCTTATTCGTAATAATTTAACTCTTTACATAAATTTTATATATTATTTAAATATTATTATTATTATTATTATTATTATTATTATTATTATTATTTTCACTATTAAACACGACAAGGCTCTTATTTGTCGGGGTTTTTTAAGTATTTATCCCAGGTTTCTACCCGATTCCTTAGGATACCTTAGATACCCTCCCTTTTAGAATTTTCCGCCATGTTTTTTTTTTTTTCTAAAAAAAAAATATTCCTTGATGAAATTATTTTTTGTTTTTATTTTGTATTTTTAAATCACTCGAGAAAATACGTCAAAGTCAAGTTTATTATTATTATTAATATTATTATTATTAATATTATTATTATTAATATTATTATTATTATTATTATTATTATTATTATTATTAATACGTCATGGAGAAAATTTAGGTATTTTTAAAAATCTAATGAGACATTTTTTTAAAAATTATGATTCCAATGCAAATAAGTAATAAAAAAAATAAATATAAAATTTTATAATTAATTGTACGATGTTAATTAACAATTAAAAAAAAAATAATGATGATAATGATTATACCGAGTTATACAAAAAGTTATGAAAGGTTCACGAATGCCTCCCCCCTCATCCCCCCCCGAAAAAAAAAATAATTAAAAGCAGTAGATGATAGATAAAGGTGTTGGTTGGTTGTTTTAAAAATTAAGTTTATGTTTAAACAAAAAATAAAAAATAATATTTATTTTTCATATATTAATTATAATTTCTTCCTTTTTTTTTTTTTTAAATTAAGTTTTCCTTTTTTTCTCTCTATCTCTCTCTCTCTCTCTCTTTCTCACTCTCTCTTTATCGATCTATCTATCTATCCATCTTCATCTCTGTTTGTTTAAAACTCCGCATCATCTCAAGCATCATTGATTTTATTTTTTTTTCGTATGTTTTTTTTTTCAAAAAAGAAAAAAATAAAAGGCACACATACATATATGTATTATTAATGTATATAAAAATAATAATAATAATAATAATAATAATAATAATAATAATAAACTTGACTTTGACGTATTTTCTCGAGTGATTTAAAAATACAAAATAAGAAGAAAAAATAATTTCATCAAGGAATATTTTTTTTTTTTTAGAAAAAAAAACATGGCGGAAAATTCTAAAAGAAGGGGGGGAGGGGGTGGAAATGGAAGAAAATCGAATCGAAAAAAAATTTTAATTATGATGATGATGATGATGATTTAAAATCAAATCGTATTTAAATTTATTAAATAAGTTAAATTAGTTTTTTTTTTAAATAACAAAAAAATTTTCGAAATATTAATGATAATATTAATAATAATATTAATAATAATAATAATAATGATAAATAATGATGATAAATAATGATGATGATAACGACATCGTTAAGAATGATAAGAACGATTGTAATTTAAATGTAAAATTTTTCTTTATTAAATTTATTAATAAATAAAAGGAATCGAATGAAAGGAAAGAAAAAAAAATTGGGAAAAGAAAATTAATGAAACGTCGATGATTAATGTTATAGAAACAAACAAAAAAACTTTTTACGTTTGTGTTTGTTCGATTGTTTGTTTGTTTTTTTAAGCAGACGACGTATTAAATTGATTTTCGTTTCTTTTAATGTTTTTAAATTATTTAAAACATTCAAATGGTTTCGTATAAGATTCGATTACGTTGTGATTTTTTTTTTTTCATTCCTTTCCTTTTTTACTTCCTTTACTTTCCTTTGGCAAACCTTTTTTGATTTTTTCCTTTTAAAAAAAAAAATTTTCCCGACTTTTTTTTTTTTTTTGTAAAAACCTTTTTAATTTCGTCTACTCGT